TATGTGCTCATGTGCGGTCTTCATGATCGACGTCATGTGTGCAACCCAATCATCCAGCGCGGGACAACTCGTGTCGGGGTGCATCTGTGACGGTCGAAGGAAGTCCGCGGGAACATTAGGGTGATAGTCGAGGTCGCAATAGTAAGGCGACATCCCCGTGGCTGGCGAGACGGCGTGGTTGTAGGCTATCTCCGCGTGGGCAAGATAAAAATCCCACTGCTGGTCGTCATGAACAATCTTTCGGAGAATATCTCCGAGAGTCCTGTTCGTGATCTCGATCTAACCATCAGTCTGGGGATGGTAAGACGAGGAGAATCGGAGCTAAGTGTCGTACACCTCGTGGAGACGTCGCCAGAATCGGCTGGTAAAGCGCGGGTCCCGGTCAGATATGATGCTTAGAGGTAAGCCGTGATCACGCACGACTCGGTCAAACACTATGTCGGCGACCTCACGTGCACTGATGGCATAGCGGCACGGAATAAAGCGTGCACGCTTCTTGAAGCGGTCGACGACGACCAGGATAGCATCATGACCGCGGGGGGTCGAAGGTCGAAAAGGACCGATAAAGTCCATCGAGATGGACTGCAAACGACCCTCAGGTATAGGAAGAGGCTGGAGCAAACCATAAGGTAGGTGGTTCGCACTGTTCACTTCCTGACAGGTGGGACACTCTGCGGCGTAGTCCTTCACAAAGTCCTTGCGCTTCAGCCAGACGTACAGGCGGCTCACACGAGCCAACGTCTTGTGGAAGCCCATATGACCGGCGGCTGCCTGGTCATGGAACTCTGCTACTGCTCGGACACGTAGCTGTCCAGTGGAGGGAACGCAAATACGGGGCTCTCTGGTGCCCTGTGAACCGTGCCAGTACACGAGACCGTTGTCCCCGAGAGAGTAGTCCGGGACGGTCTTGCCACTCCGAATGGTCGCGTGGATGTCGCGATAGTCAGGGCAGTGGCGGTACTGAGTGCGAAACTCGTCGATCACCGAGTGGTGGACGGTGGTGACCGAGATGGAAGAGAGTTGGATCTGCTCCTGGTCGTGGTCAGGGTGCCGGGATAGGGCATCTGCGACCCGATTAGTCTCACCCTTTATGTGCTCGGTGGTGAAACTAAACTCGGATAGGTCGCGCCACCATTGAGCCTGTCGAGGAGTGAGCTTCGGCTTTGTCAGAAAAGCCTGGACAACGGAGTTGTCTGTGTCGCCGTGCGCACCGTGAATGGTGCCCCGTGCAGGTAGTGACGCCAGTGTCGAGCGGCATAAACTACTGCGAGAACCTCACGTTCATCAACGGTGTAGTTTATCTCGGCGGGCAGGAGCTGACGGGAGTAGAAGGCTATCGGACAATCACCTGAGCGAGACTCGACAGTGCCGTCCTCGACGATAATAGGAGAATAGTCAATAGAAGGCTCGTCAGTAGTTGGACGAGTAGGCGTCAGTCGGGAAGCCGTGGTAGGGGTAGGTGGTGGGAAGCGAGGGATACGAGGATGAGAGGAATCAGGAGAGGAGGGGAAGACTTGAGAAAGCACTGCTCCTACAGCAAAGTCTGACGCATCGGTGGTAAGGATAAAAGGGCTGTCAAAATCGGGTAAGTGAAGAACCGGTGCGCATGTCACCGCCTTCTTGAGGGCGCGGAAGGCGTCCTCGTGGAGGGGTGTCCAAGCCAGGGTGGGTTCTTCCAGAGGAGGGTGGAGGTAAGGACGTAGGAATACCTAGCGTATCCCTGGATGAAATTACTATAATAGTTGGTCAGGCCTAGGAGGTTGCGAAGCTGCTTGGCGGCTGTGGAAGCGGGCCACTCCGCAATAGCAGTGATCTTCGCGTCGTCCATGTGGCCACTCAGCTTGGCGTAGAAGCCATGTCTGCACAAGCGGTCAAGGACGTCGCCGAGGTGTCAGAGGTGCTCCTCAAGGATACGACTGTAGACCAGGATATCGTCGAGGTAGAGGAGAACGTACTGCTCCAGGATGTCCCTGCATATGTCGTTCATCGCCCTATGGAAGGTAGCCGGTGCGTTGGTGAGGCCGAATGACATCACCGTAAACTCGTAGTGGCCGAAGCGCGATCGGAACGCGGTCTTCGGCTGGTCGGCTACAACGACACAGATTTGATGGTAACTGCTACGAAGATCAACCTTCTTAAAGAAGCGGTTGCCTGCTAGGCAGACAAACAGCTCATCGGAACGAGGCATGGGGTAGTTGTTCTTAACCGTGTAGCGGTTGAGACCGCTGTAGTCGATGCAGAGACGAAGAATTTCATCCGCTTTGCGAGCAAAGAGGACGGGTGCACCCCACGGGGAGTTGTTGGGTTTAATCAAGCCCAGTCTTAGGAGCTCCTCAAGCTGACGGTTGAGTTTGGTGGCCTCGGGGATCGAGAGTCTGTAGGGTGCCTGGTGGTGAACACGATAGTCAGGCACAAGCTGGATGGAGTGTTCGACGTCACGCATCGGTGGGATGCCGGAGTACGAGAACGACGATGGGAAAACGTCGTGGTACTCTCGGATGAGGTCACGAACGGCGGGCTCCAGGTCAGCCGTATATCGTGCGAGTTCCTCAGCGTCAGCGTCAGCGCGCGACGGCGGGCTGGACCTGACGGACGGCGGAAGGACGGAAGTAGAGATGGGAGCCATGGAGATAGAAGGAGGATCTGGCTCCTGAGGCATGAGCTCGGCGTCGGGACAGGGTGGATCATAGTGTAAGAGATCCGTCACGTTCACCATAAAGAAGGTGACGTCGTCCTGTCGGATGAAGTGGGCGAACTGCCGAGGCGAGGTGACCGTGATAGAAGGAGATGGTGTGGGCACGGAAGGCTCCGGGTGAGGAGGATCGTGGCGTGGTGTCGCGGTCGTACCTATGAAAGGTACGCGATACGTCTATCCACAGTTCGTTTTGAGAACGAGAGTGTTGGTCGCCCAGTCGGCCTCGGTGCTGCGGAACCGATGAGACCACGGAGTGCCGAGAATGAAGTTGTACCCCGTCTCCATCACATCGAAATGTGCAGAGGAGCGGTGGCGACGAGATGCCGGGGGACGATCAGTTGGCTTGAGAGTGAGGAAGAAGGGGAGGTCGGTGACCGTCTGATCGAAGAAGCGCTGGGTCTTGTCATCCCCTAGGGTAACGGAGATGGGAGTCGGAGACCCTGGCGTGGGTAAGCAGGCGTCTTTCACCACACGTGGGTGAATGAAGTCGTGAATGAAGTCGCCCTGAGAACCGGAATCCCACAGCGCTGAGTACACCCTCGTGGAGGTCCCGAGTCGTACTGGGATGATCGGGAGGGTGCGATCAGGGTCAGAGAGGATGGTGAGAACGCGACGCAGTGCAGCGACATGGAGAGTGAGTTGCTCCTGACGAGCCTGGAGCATGCTCAAGTCTAGAAGAGAGGACACAGCGTCCTCGCGAGTAGCGAGCTGCTCGCTGCAACGGGCTGAGCGAATGGCTCGACGCGTCGATAGTCGCAGCGGGGAAGGAGGGGAGACGGTGGTCTGCGGAGGCGCAGACGGTAGTGCGACAGAGGGCTGAGTACACTCTGTCGGGTCTTGCGATACCTCAACTCCAGTAGCGAGAGGGGCAAACTGCGACGGGGATGTCGGGAAGCCGACTACTGAGGAGGGCGCAGGTGTACACTGCACCGTGGCTAGGAGGCGCCGCGGGGATGCGAGGCGTCGGGGGGGGACTGAGCACGACGCTGGCGGGAAAGGTCAGCGTAGTGGCGGTCAAGGGCGGTGGTGTAAGGGCACCGCGTGGAGGTATGACCATCCTGACGACATTGCAAACACCCACGCCGGCCCAAAATAGCCGCGCGCTCCTCAGCGGAAAGGACACCGCGAGGAGGGGCAAAGCCTTGAGGGAGGTCCTGCTGAGGGACCTCGGGGGGCGACGCGCTAGCGTGACCAGGGCGGCTGCGTGCCCGGGAAAGGGTGGAGAGGATGAGCTGGAGGTGCTCAACCATAGGGAGAGTTGAGTCCTCCAGCTGGACGGCCTCGCCGAGGTCGAGGTCGTCGCTATGGTCACCTTTTGGCGACAGCGGAGCACCAGCGTCCTGCTCACCATACTCGAGCACGCTGAAGCGGCGCGAGAAGTGGCGGCCCTGCTGCGCGGAACGGCGGGGGCGACCGCGGAAAGGGGAACGGCGCTGGGAAGTGCCGTGGGAGGAGGAGGCGTAGCCAATGCGCTGAGGCTGGGAGGAGGCGGGGTGAAGACGGGCTCGGATCCGCTCATGGTCCCTGGCGGCCTCGTAAGCCTGCAGGGCCGATGTGAACTCGTACCGCCATAGCTCAGAGCGGTACTCGAGCGGAAGGCTGGCCAAAAAACGATCGATAAGGGAAGCCTCGGGGAGGAACGCCACGTCGCAGATGAGGCGGGCGTCCTGAAAGACCTGGATGTGGCGATCCAGGCCGGCAGCGCCACCAGAGCCGGACCAGCGTGTAGTGACGACACGCTCGAAGGCGTCAGTCACGTCGTATCGGGCTCCGAAGCGATCCTAGAGGAACGCCTGGAAATCCATGAAGGTCGGAGTCCGACCCTCACGAAGGGAGTAAGCGTAGAAATCCTCCCAGGCGTCGAAAGGACCGCCATGCAGGTGTGTGAAGAGGTGACCCACCCACGTGTCGGGTGTGGCGCCCATGAGCTGGAGCGTGCGGGTGGCAGACTGCAGCCACCGAGACACGGGTATGCCTGTACCGTCATACTGGGCAATGTTCGACAAGCGGATGACCGTTTTGGCGGCGAGGGGATCGAGGAGCAGAGGCCTGTGCCACGGCTGAGTAAGTCGGCGCAGGTCCTGGAGAAAGGGGCGCACCTGACTGTGCGCCCGTGCCGCATGGGGGAGCGGCGGGGGCAACTGCGGCAGGCTGTGAGGGAGTTGCGGTAGAAGAGGTCGTAGCAACCGCGGGAGTAGGAAGAAGGTAGGATGGGGCTGGATAGGGTGCAGGGCGAGGGAAGCGAGCCTGCATGGGAGGAAGGGTAGAGGAAGGAGGAGGTGCGCCCGAAGGCGCGGCCACCTGTGAGGGTGGGGGTGGCTGAAGGCGTAAGAGGGCGAGGTCGGCCCGGATCTGGGTAAGCTCGTCCTCGAGACGTTGGACGTGAATCGAGCGAGGAGTGGCAGGAGGAAGAGTGGAGGAAGTGGACGCACAAGCGGCGCGGGGCCTCCCAGAGGGGGAAGAGCCAGGTGGCGCTGCGGTCGTGCGAAGGGAAAAGAGGAACGAGGCACCCGGAAAAGCTGAGACCATGGTAGCGGGTTGTGGTCCCGTGGCCGTAGTGGCTGGAATCTGGGCGGGTGCGCCCGTAGGCTGAGGCAGGGCCTGGCTCGTGGCGGCCGTCGTGCTAGGGGCGTGGACAGTCACCAAGATGGCCGGGTTGGGGGCAGCGGAGGAGGAAGCTTCGTCGTGGCCACCCTGTCGGAGGATGGGGGACCCGGATTGGGAGCCAGGAGATGAACGGCAGGCAGCATCCTGGAGTTGCTGCATGTCGGCGGCAAGGGTCGCCACCTGCGCCTGTAAGGGTGCGAGGGTCGCGAGTTGCGCCTGGATGAGCGCAAGGAGGGAGGTGAGGAGGGTGTGCAGATCCCCCTGGGGCTGGTGGCCCTTGTCCGTCGGCACGGGTGTGGAGCCCTGTGCCGTGGTCGTCGCCGCGTCGGCGGCGTGTGACACGCTGTCGGCCATGGGGAGGTGACGGGCTGGACTGGAGGGGGCCAGGAGAGGTCCACGTGAGCGGGGGGCGTAGGGGGGGGTCCGCGGTAGAAAGCGGCGGACAGCGCTAGCAAGGCTAGCACGGGTGCCGTCAAAGGGGGAGGGGTGGTTCGGGTCCAGGGTGCCCGAAGAGGAAGGGGAAGTGGTGGGGTTTTGAAGAAGCCTAAACCCTAGAAAAACCCTAAGAAAACCCTAACTGAAGTTTGAGTGGTTAGGGTAGGGTACCGGTGACCTAATCAAGAAAATAAAATAGCAAGCATAGGGGGGGGAAGGCGGGAGAAAAATAAATAAGCAGCGAGATTTCAAGGGAAAAACAAAAGAAAATAAATAAGGGAAGAAGTAAACAAAATGTGAAAAGAAAAATAAGATTTTTTTTTTTTTTAAATTTCGGCAGCATTTCCCTACCCCCCATGGGGTCAAGAATGTGCCAAGGGGGAAGGAGAGACCAAGGTAAGCACACTAGGTTGCAAACTGCCGCAAATAATTTTTTTTTTCAAAAAATAAATAAATAAATAGATAAATAAATAAAAAAGTAAATAAGTGGATGAGGAGGTGGAGAGAAATGAAGTATCTGATTTTTCAAAAATTTTGGCAGCATTTCGTTACCCCCATGGGGTCGAAGTGTGCCGAAAAAGACTAAGTAAGAAGAAATCAGAAAATTTCGGCAGCACTTCGTTACCCCCACGGGGTCAAAACGTGTGCCGAAAGCAAGAAAGACTAACACCTAATCAGATTTAGGGTTGCCATAAAGAAAATCGAAATTTTAGAATAAATAGAAAAATAAATGAAATAAATCAAAAAATGAGAAAAGAAGGTCGGAAAGAAGATAATTCGAATTTTTGGAAAAAAAAAGAGAAAAGATAAATCAAAAGAGAGGTGGAAAGAAGAAAAACAGAAAAAATTCGAAGTAGGGGGGAAGGGGAATGAAAAAGTGAAGGAGAAAAGAAAGAAATAGGTGGGAGAGAGAAAAAGATGAAGTGGGAGGCAGGGGGATGGTGCGGTGGTAGTTGGGGGAGAGGAGGGTGAGAGAATGATAGAGAGAGGGATGGGGAAAGGTGGAGAGGGATCAAGAAGCAAAGAGAAAAGGAGGAGGAAAGAAAAGAAATAAATAGAGAAAAGAGAGTAAGACAATGGGTGGTGGGAGAAAAGGTGGGGTGGGGAGAGGGGTATGAGTAAGAGGAGAGAGAGAGAGAGATATGGAGGGTGGGTTAGTAGGGGGAGGGGAGAGAGAGGAGAGATACCTGGCCCTTGGTGTCTCCAAGGGCACAAGGTATACCAAAACCAGGAGGGTCTTGGCCTTCGCTGCAGCAAGCCAGCTGGAGGAGAGAGGGGACTGAGATCTTGATCAGCCCCTAGCAACAGTTCTGCAGATCTGCAGATCTAGGGTCTGCTGTGTGAGCAGACCCTCACCACTGTAGAGCAGCCCCTGAAACAGGGGGTCTTGAAGTCCATGGCAGGCTGCCACGTGGCACTGCAGGTGGCCACATGCACAAGCAGCAGCAGCCAAGGAGGGGGGGGAATAGCCAGCACGACACCTCTTCAACACGAGTGTGCCGTACTACAAAGCCATGTATGCTCTGCGGCGAGTGTGTTATCAAGGTGCTTATGCACGCGCATGGCCCAGCAGGCGCCTGGGTTCAAACCCCAGCAGCAGCAGCTACATCTCGGATCTTGATAATAGATAAATCCCGGAGCGGAGCGGGGTGGGGTAGTGGGGCACGTGGCGCGTGCGTGTGCGGCGGCCGGCTTTGGCCTTGCACGCACGCGTCGTGATGCTGTCCTCTTTTTCGCCACGTGTCGACCTGCTGCTTCACCGTTTTTTTTCCCCTCGTTTTTCCAAAAAACAGCCTGAAAACAACGAAAAATCCCGTTGTCGGGATTTGCTGTTTTCCCGTATGTGCGGTGTGGTAGGTGGGAGCGGGGACCATTCCCGCTCCGATACCAATGTAGCGGACCCACCAGGTGTGGTGCTCCGCTAGGGATGACGACGGAGATGGAGGATGAGGGAGGAGCGAGACAGCACAGCGCAACTCCCACGCAAGATTCCAGTGCACGTACTCCAAACTGTGCGAGTGTAGAATGATCTCGAAAACAGACAATGGTTGGGGTATACCCCAGCGGACTGACGGGACTGGACTGGACTGGCTGGTACCGACAGAGGTACCGGCGGGGACTGGACTGCCCCGAATAAAACACAGGCCTGTGAGAACAGTCCAAGGGAACCAGCCAACCAGAGGTCCGCTACACCGCAATTGAGCTAACTCGGACTTTATTTTGGCAAGCCCAAGCGGGA